ACTCTCAATAAAAGTGATCAAATGTTTCGATAAGATATGTTCTAAAGTTTTACAGCACGTGCTCGTTAGGGAAATCGGTCGATAATTACTCAGGATAGTTTTATCACCCTTCTTATGGACCGGAATTATCTTGCCACATTTCCAATCTCGGGGAATTGTTCCTTTGTCAAGTGTTAGGTTAAAAATTATTACCAGGTAATGGGAGCACCATTCTGCATATCTTTTTAGAAATATATTAGGTATTTCGTCAGGCCCGGATGATTTTTTAGCATCAAGGTTTAATAACAAATTGAACAGACCTTGCTGGTTCACTGTCACGTCAGTTATAGCAGGAATGCCACAAGGCACGTAGAAATTGGGAAGGATGCCATCGTCTCTTGTGAAAACTGACTGAAAGTAATGGTTGAATGATGAAGCAACTTGCCACTTGTCTGTTATAATAGAACCGTTCTTGACAATACCTGGAACAGTTTCCTTAACCGGAGATAAATGTCGCCAAAACTTTTCTGGAGAATTTTTTAGAAAGTTTGTGAGTGAATTTTCCATATAAAAACATTTAGCATTGCGAACCTCCGATTTAAAAGTATCCGAAAGGCCCTGTACTTCCTCTCGCTTTTGAGGTGTCTCGCATTTTTTTAGATTCCGCCTTTTTCTTTTTAGCCTACGCTTCATGCGAATAATATTTTTTGTTATCCACGGGTTTAGCTTGGAGATTTTTTTGACTCGGAGGGGAATAAAATTGTTGATGGCAGTGTGAACCATAGTTTTAAATCTTGCCCAGATCTCGTCTACAGATGTCGTGTTTAATGCGGAGAATTGCCTAAAGCTATCATAATGTAAATTAAAAAAGTCACATATACTTTCATCATCTGCCTTAGAGAAATCCGGAAAGGAAACAGTTTCAGGCGGTACTTTTTCACGCTTTCCTAAGGGACACGCCACGAGGACCATGTCGTGGTCGGAGATACCATCCAAAACTTCGCACGAGTATTGCGACTGCGACAATCGTTTACTTAAAAAGACCAAGTCAAGCAAAGAACTAACAGAACCTTGCGTTCTAGTACTTTGTTGAACAATTTGTGTCAAATCATGAGAAAATACTAAATTGATCAAAGCTTGCGACGTGGAAACTTCCCCATGTGTTGCACACATGTTCAACCAATCAATGTTGGGCAGATTAAAATCCCCAGCCAGAACAATTCTGCTATTTTTACTTCGGACATGTTCACATAGATAATCATTTATACTCGTAAAATAGGTTTCGTTCGTCAGAGGAGGACGGTAAACAGCTCCGATCATATTGGACACTTATTTATTACAATCTTGCAAAACAATGATTCAATACCATCTAAATTAGGCATCACCTCACTCTCTAGCTCCTCCTTGATAACAACTGCGACACCACCTCCACGAGACTCCCGATCTTTACGAAAGCAAACATAATTCGGTGGTACAAAATCCGTATCTTCAACTTGAGTGCTCAACCACGTTTCTGTTATTATAACCGCGTCAGGTTCATGTTCCAAAAGTATGGCTTCCAACTCGGCTCTCTTGTTTAATACGCTTCGCGCGTTTAGATTGATTACGGTGAGTAAATCAGGAACACGACTGATTTTCAGGGCCCTCTCTGTGACTCAGTTCCCCTTCAAGAATATCGCCACTCCCATATGGACGGCGAGAACCGGATGTCAAATCCCAGTAAAACAAGCTACCGTCTACGGCTATCTTGTCATAAACTAACCGGACTTTAGCGCCTCGGTTTCTTTCATCTCTTGCGGAGTCCCAAAGGCATTTTCTTAAACTTTGAACTTGCCTAGAAAAATCCTCACTTACAGAAATACTTGTGCGCAAGATCGCAAGCTAATTCGCCTTTAACCTTCCCGTCTGACAGCGGTATTAGACGCATTTAGTGACGTTCACACAACATGATTCATAGAACGTTTAACTGAGCAGATAGCATTCTACAACTTTCGAATTCACTACGGGGCACCACTCCATGAGGGCGTCACAACATGGCAACCATGACCACTAGACGCCGCGGAACGGCGGAACCTAATTAATTTTTTTATATGCCTACAACAACGGAATTGCAGTATTTCCGTAGAAAAGCGACATGCTGTTATTTTTTTTTTGTTTTAGGAAAAAAAAAAGAAGGTAACACGCTGCAGAATTTATCAACGTTAAAATAGTTGCACTTTCTTTTTTGCACTAATAAGCAACAGATTCTTTCCAAAACCCCATCAAACAACATTGGTGGTCGCCATGTGATTGGCCCAATTAGTGTGATAGGATCTGAGTCCTCGCTGAACAATACATGCCCAGAGTGCGTGCCCATGGGATGGCGGGCTCGGGTAATTTGCGCAGCAACTGAGCTCACCTTTGAGAAGGGTCTAGTGCAGAAACCATCGTTTAGATTTAGCAGAAAGATTTTAAGGTAAAACAGTACTGATTAACAAACAAACAAGGCCCCATTTTGTTTGAATCAGCTTATCGCTTAGCAGGACGTTAAATACTTTTGAGAGAGAGAGAGAAATGGGAGACAAATAATTGATCGTAAACATTTTGCGATTCTTTCGTTAGATTGGACGGATTGAAGAGGGCACGCCATACCTTGAGATTCAGGAAGAAGTAGAAACGAATGCTTTCCTGAAAGGATTACAGGCGTTGCGTCAACCATATGACAAACATAACATGTACGTGGTAAAGCAGACTCTCCAAAGAAAATGTGAAACATTACTCGTTTTGTTTGAAACTTCAAAAGTTAATTATTAAACCAACCATGCAGCCGAAGTGTTCCTATTTTAATTACATATTTTCTTTTTCAGTTGGCTAGTGCCGGCAACTGAAGTAGACGCATATTACGAAGACACGAGCAATACAATTGGTATATGTAATGTGATTTGAGAGTTGTAATTAGTGTGGTCATACTTCTTTTATGTGAATTATGTAAAAATGTTTTTGACGCAATCAGAGGTACACGTCCACTGTGCTGATAGAAATAGTCGTGTACTGCACCTATCGTAGGAGGGTGCAAGTCTGTGTTCTGTACTATCAAATACGACAATTAGTTGCACCAAAAACAGCTGGCGGCTGGTATCCCCAATATTTTCAGTAGAGGAGCCGCGCGGTTCTCTATACCATCGTTTCCATATTGAAATCAGTTGGATTTCCGAAACATACACGTTGTTCTAAAAAACACACAAAAAAAGCGATACTTCATTGGCTCAAACTGCAACTTACTCGGTCTTATTGGACGTTTTTGTGCGCGGTGATACCGTTTTTATGCAAATCAAATACTGTATGGCACTCCACTTTGTGCTTAAGTATTATTTTGTCCGCCAGGCAGTTTGTTTATCTATCTCCCAAATAAGAAGCGACCCATCATCTATAAAAACCGACGTTTTTTTTGTTTTTTTTCTTAAATCATATTTCAGACAGAATACGCAAAACTTCCAATCCACGAATATTCCTATTTTTGCACACGTATATATATATATATATATATATATATATATATATATATATATATATATATATATATAAATGTTTGAAGCTACTGAATTTACACTTGTTTATTGTCGAGCATTAATGCTTCCAGTTCGTTTGTTTAAGCCAGAATTGTACCTTAGAAACATTAAATATGCATACATTATATAAATTCTGAACCTCTTACTCTGGTGTCATTAAAATGTTCTAAAACATTTTAGAATGTTATATTTTCATTTATTAATAATGCCAATGTCGCTGAAAGCTTAAGAAACGCTGGGTGTACCTCATGATGTTCACGATTCTTGCTTCGTGATTTGTTCGTAGTCCTTATCGGCTAATGCTAAATTATCATTGCCTGCAAAGCGATAATAATATGCTCAAAACTTGCCACGCCATTTATTTATTTTGATCTCCGGCGAAAGTTTTAGATACACACTTTGACTGAAAATTGTTTCTAAGCCATAATAGATACACCTGAGAGAGAAACAAAAATTACATACAAGTCAGAATAATTGTTTTCGTGAAGATATTGAATTTTAATATATTGTCTCAAAGGCTGGGAAGCTGTATTGGCGCAATACTGAAAGCGTGACGTTACATGCTGTAATGGTGTGTTTGTGTGTGTCTGCTGGGGGGGGGGGGGGGTAGTACAGCTTGTTTCCGACGGATTACGAGAAGTATGATGGTGGGAAAAAATTAATGCTGGGGAAAGTCACATAGGCAAAAAAAAAAAAGAAAAACGCTCAAAGTAATGTGTTTTTTATACAATTATGTGACGTCGCCCCACTGGTTAATGCGGAAGTATTTGAATCGTGGTTTTCGCAAAACCTTCCCTCGCCAAGTTTTTTTTTTTTTTTTTTTTGCTTTTTTAAAAGTTATTTTAGAACATAAATATAATAAATATAATTCATCGACAGTAAAGCCTGGGTATCCCGACAATGTGTTTAGTTTGAGTAGCTTATTTTGGGAGAGTTGTTCAATATATGCACTGGTTGTAACAACATGCGGGTCGACATTTGCAGCGTTTCCTGCTGGCATCCTCCAGAGTCCCTTATACACAGAAGGACTGCCTAGGTAATTATAGACGTAGGTGTGCGTATATGTTGCATGATAATGAACTTCCTTTTTATTTTTTTTTATACTGGTCATGAGAGTCTTAAGGTGTAACATTTTACTCACTTGTCATGTAAAGAGCTGTCAAAAAGTCGTAATAATAGATAAAAACAGGTTTTGCATTAGGGAACTTATTATGGCTACACTTAAATAAAAACGTAACAGTACCTAAAACATTTTTCTTGGCTAGCTATACATTTAGGAGAAGCGACAATATGTAAAATAGCAAACTTCATTATAGTTCCTGTTACTCACCACAAGAAACAATAAAACAATGTAAAAAACATCTCGTTTCTAAGCAAGCCTGCATACATTTATTTTAAGGACTAACACATACATATCTAAAACATTGATTACAAGAGTTATGCATTAAATCACTATTTCGCTTTACATTGCAGTGCTCTAAATTATGGAGGTATCGGCTCTACTATAGCACATGAAATTACACATGCATTCGACGACATGGGTAACTGCTTTTCACATAAAACGCACTCATCCTTATTAAAGGGCTTTAAAATAGCGCTGATGTGTATCTGTGTTAAACTTTAGTAAGATATTCATAAAAAAGAAGAAAAACTCGTTGGACATATAATGTTCTGGTGTTTTGTTTTCCCTTTCCTCATAATAAAAATTACAGGTCAGAATCTTTTTCTTTTTTTTTTTTTTGACGCATCATCCAAAAATGGATGAAATTTCTTTTCTCCTATTTGATTAGTGGACTTACTTCAAACCACCACGGTAATTAAAACCATTCGCAATTGATTTATGTCATTTATTTCAGGTGACAAGACATATTAATGATACTTTCAAATTCAATTTTAAATGTCCTTACGCAGTTGCTAAATAAAAAAAAAACGTTCAAGATTTTGGCTCCTGGATTATTTTCGCTCAATGGACTAAATTACCAGACGTAAAATTTTATGAAATATCGCACTTTCTTCCTTAGTATCTGAATATTTTTTTTTTATAAACACATCCCTATTGTCCAAAACGTTGATTTCAACTTTCGTATAAAAATACGTTTCACAGGTCGACATTTCGATTCAACGGGACAGTTACACGACTGGTGGACGGAAACCACTAAAGATCATTTCGATGAACGAGCGCAATGCTTTGTAACACAGTACGGTTCCACATACGATGATCAAGCTAAAATGCTTGTAAGTGGAATTGTTCGACAATAGTTAATAATTTGCTCCGTGCCATGAAAATTACTTCTTGTAACCGTCCAGTGGTATTTTAAAACAGGGAAGCCAGCTCCTTTTACAGTAATATAATTATTTAAAAGTCACGCAAATTTAAATGTATGCTACAAAAATCCTAACTAGGAACATACATATCTAGGGATAATACATAATGTAGTTTTTTGTTTGGTACCCAGAGTAATTCGCACGCACTGAATGGTATACGTCTCCCGGCCCATCGCTTACGTAGCTGGTAAAGTGCGTTTCTAAATCAATTGGTTAACTTTTTAACAAAGTGATTCTTTATCTTATTGCATTTTTATTCGTACAATTGTAGTGCCTTTGTACTCTGCTTTTTTAGATACAAAGTCCTTTGTACAGAGGGGGGCTTTAAGTACCAGCACACTTGACACACCTTGCAAATTTCGAATTTCAAACGAACATACCGGAAATTGGGCACACGAACGTTGTTTCGCAAAAAAAAAGTGTTGTCTTTTTTTATATATTGTGTCTGGAACGCGTCCTCGACTGGTGTGTTTAGCGCGTCCAAAAAAGTGTTCCCTCGACTTCCGCCTAATGACGTCATAGGAGCGTCAGGCTGTCGCCGGTGGCGCTCCTGGCGGTGTCCCAGCAGTGGTGGCGAATGTGGCAGACGTCTGTTCTGCTGCAGGTCGCTCTCCAGTGTGCCAGTCTATGAAAGCTTCGGCAGCTACAAGTCGGGACACAGCAACAACAGCGAGACTCGCGTTCGCTTGTGCTTTTCCCCAGCATTTCTACGCACAACCGCCAGGATCGCGACATCCGAGAGCAAGACACTCCGGCTTCTTTGACGTCATTTGTTGCCACTTCGGGATATCTTTAATATATGGACGGGATAGGACGCTAAACATACCAGTTAAGGACTCGCTTTAAGCACCATTTTTTTGGGGTTTTTTTTTTAGCGTCCAGGCGGTGGTGGAGTCTTAAAAATCAAGCAAGAGCGGCGGCTTTGTATTTCCTGTTCCATACCGGCCGTTGTGTGCGCTCTGGTTTCCGCACTCGCTCCCAGGTGGAGTGCTGAAAGCAAGTCCTGAGGATAGAGCGAAACTCGAAACAGCCAGTCAATTTCCAACTGTATCAATACTTAGCAATGCATACTCGGTTCGGGTAACAGTCCACTAAAGGCGGTCGTCAGCCTGACGGCTTCAAAATCTCCAAAGAACCCGCATGCAGGAAGGTGGCTCTACAGTTGTTAGAATAGAGCCGCCCAGGAGGACCAAATGAGAACGGTCTATATTAACGAGAAAGAATTGTATAGGGAGAAGTCGGTCCAACAATCGTTTTGTCTCTTTAGCTAGGCGTTCATATTAATTGGACCCTTATTAACGAATACATCACTGTATATGGTCTAAACGTTTTCAAAGGCAAATGACTGATGTCTGAGTCTTCATAAATTTGCTTTTTTGCAGTTGAACGGAAACCTGACTCTTGCAGAAAACATTGCTGACGCTGGGGGTCTCAAAGGCGCGTTCAAGGTGACATCGCCCTTTTATTTTTCTCTACCTTAACAGAGTACCACAAACTATTCTTGTTGTGGCGGCCATTTGGTAGAATTTTCCAAATGTGAGACCTAGATCACTGCAGCGGGCACTAATAACATTGGAGTTATAATCCCGGCGCTGCAAAATATTTTGGTTTTATGTGGCTTCACAGCATATATCTTATTCGATCACTAAGCTTCCTACACCTACATATTTCGCCTACTAATAACGCCCTATATGCGTTGAGTCAATTCTATTTGTTTTTGTTTTGCGAAAAACGCGCTATATTCCTACTTCGATACATTTAATCGTATTTGTTTATTCAAAAATTATCTAAATTCCTACATCTGTTAATTTAAAAATGCCATTTCGGCCGTTAAAAAAACCCATAACACTCAGTAATTGAGACTTGTCAAGATTCGTAAGTTTCAAAACAGATGCATGTGTTTTGAAACACGTGGATGTGTCACAAACTTACGTAAACAACATAAAAAACAAAAATCTGTTAACAAAGTGTATTATATTTTGTTCAGAATGATGTAAACCTTTATTTTTTTTATTTCACAGGCATACCAGGGTACCAGAGTAGGAAAGATAGAGAAGACCCTTCCTAATTTAGAACATTATACAGGAAACCAACTTTACTTCATTGCTTCTGCTTTGGTAAAGTCCGTTTTTGCAAAATTTATAAATTAATCTGTAGACAAAACACGCGTATGAAATGTTGATTCTCCAAACTGTTTCAAGTCATAGCGCTTTCACGAAGGCTTTTCTTTTTCTTGTCTAGATCAATTTTCCCTTCTGAAATTTACAACAATAGGCTCTCAGAAAAAAAAGTTTCTAGTCATAAATTTGTTTATTGGCTATACTCGCATATTTAAAAATTTCATACAATTTTGTCGAAATCTCGCATTCAACGTTGCCAGACTTTGCACATTATATGATGTTGCGAATCCACGCACAATGAGTACTACAGTATCGTTATTTGTATATGTATGTATCTGTAGGGTGATTTCAGATAAGATCGACCAAAGGGTGGCTGGTCGACATTCTTAAATCAACTAATAGTTTTATATACCATTGTCTAGTGCCCGGTATAAACAAATCCATACTTAGTTTTGACAAAAAAAAATTTGGGGACAGGAAAGATCGTCAGGCATGAGGATGTGGATAGTTGTATTAACGCGCACTGATGGACCGGGCACGTTTGAAAGTCAATAACTAAAAGGATAAAGTTAGAAGAATTTTAATACTTTTTAAAAACAAACTATGGGTACAGCTTGCTTGTAATATAAAGTAATAATTATTGAAATTTTATTTATTTTTCTAGAAATTGCCAAACATGCCTGCTCGAACGACAAATGTCAAAATTTGGAGGCCTGTATCTCATGAAATAATTTAATCATTATCATATAATTTGCAGTTAGTATTCTACTTTTATATGGCTATTAGTCAAAAATAAATAAGTCATCTGAGTGATACAATAGTCGGGATATATTTAGGCAAACATAGGGAAAAAATCAAACAACGAAACATTCCGATGCGAATAAGAAAAAAACACCACCTTCGATTTTTTAAAATAAATTCGGATACGCTGTTACACTCTATTTCGGAATTCATTTCTATTAAAACATGTTGCATCATTTTATTGAGAAAGAGGACACAACTCTCCAATGTTGGGTCCTTTTTCAAAGCCTACATTTAGCAGTGCCCTATAGGAGTTCCAGTTTCAGGAAACTAACACACATCTTTCATATATTTTTATTCAAATGAGGTCAATGACAACTAGAGCAATCGGTCACACATTAAAAGTGAGGAGAAACTATATACAGCATTTTACATACAGCGTACAAAGAGGTATCATATTAGAAACTAGTGATTCGAGAAAAGATGATGCAGTATGAAGTTTTACTTTCCGGTATAATTTATATTTAAAATAAAAAAAATTAAAAAAAAATTTACTTCAACACACAAAAATGAAGATAGAATACTAAAATTGTTTAGGTTAGTTATGTATTTCAGGGGACAAACCATTTCAGGTGAGCGGTGCCACCGCGCCGGACTGTAAGAGCTTCGATACTCTTGGTGTACGAATGGATCATGGGAAGCCGAGATATTTTATCCTGCGCGAGGATAACGTTTTGTGATTCTCATATGGTGATCAGATAAAGATTATAAGCTATCACAAAGTAAAGTATTAGGTTAAATACCCCGCGAAGAAAACTCTGATAAATAAGATAACCCTGCATTCAAAATTAGCAGTCCTTGGGGCATCAAATTCGGCACTTTACACTAAGGCTTTCCTCGATGTACCCATTTATTAAAGTTTGTTCTAACCAGATTCGACTGTCCGTGCTGCATATAAGTCACAGGTTTGTTTTGTTGATGACTTGCACAGCCGCCACGCGTACCAAGACTGAATGCCAGGAAAGGCGCGCACCGTCAGCCACTTTTTGTTGACGATACCGAACAAGCTCATTTTCGTCCAGATATGCAAGATGCACCAAGTTTCTCAAATAGAACGCTCACGATTGTCCTGGCCGTCTGAATGCGTTTATTGAACGTTCTCTCGGGTATTTCAGCGTGGCCTGGTGCTTACGAGTCCCCCAACTCCGTCTCATTTATTTTCCCATGTCTAGATGCAGAAAAAAAAACCACTGGATTTGTGGGCAATCGTTCTATGCACACTGGTGAAGTTGGTAGCGATTCTTAAAGTGACTGGTGGCCCCGTCACTTACGTACGTCACGTGCAAATATGCCGCAACGTTGTCTTCAACCCACTCTTTCACTTTTTCTAGAGCCAAGCACGTGAAAGCGATGTCGTCACACAGGTCTTCACTGATGATAGCAACGCTGTTTGTAAATTTTCTTGACGTGACTACACATGTAAATGTCAAAACTTTTTTTCTTCGGTGGTATATGCTTTGACTTTGTCAGGAAGCACGATGGACCACTTTTCAGCAAAGTCAAAATGAAAGTCAATGCTCCCGCGTTGCATGCACGTGCTTTTCATCGCCGATCGCTTCATCTTGCGTTTGTCGGATATCGTTGTGAAATATCCAACTTTCAACGGTTGCTTGAACGATGTTTAGGTAAATCTCAAAATCCAGCGTTTTTTTTTTTTTTGTTTTTTTTTACGAGGTTTGTCGGATTTTTATGTTGTAAACACAATCTCTTTATCCTCTTGGATATGAAGTCCCTCGAGTGTAAGAGACTGGTCTTTTCGGCAGGGATCACAGTCTCTTTAAAGACACAGACTTGATAGTGGGTCGCAGAGAAATGCTGAGTTCATTTCACCAGTGTAGAATGTTGAGCCTGTAACGTTCTCTACAGCGGCAATACAAAGGTAAGGATTGGCGCAGCGCACACAAACGCCCACTTCCTGGTGTGGAATACATTTGACCCATCTAGGGCGCAAGGAATAATATTTTGTTCGCCCACCGCCGGAATCAAGTTGCTTGCCTTTGTTGTATACACGAAATGCCTCTCAGATTAAGCGTGTCAGGAAGCGCTTTGGCACGAATGTTTTCTCCACGTCGAGCATGAGAGAGATTACGTCCTTCTGGTTGGGACCTTGGCACGAACACTGTAGCCCATCTTTTGTGAAGTACTCTAGGGCAACAGACATGGTCTCAGGGCTCACCTTGCACCTCGTGTAAGATTCCGGCTCATACCACGCGCCATGCTTTTCCTTACCTAAAACGTAAACACTGTCACCATGTTAACTTTTCCAGGGTTCACATGGCGACAGTGTTTACGCTCTACTGTATTTAGGTGGGGCTCGAGTATTTGGGAGTTCTGTTCTCTGTCAGTGTGCCTCTTTGTGCCTGATATTATCGCCCGCGAAGCAAGCGAGTAGGATGGCGACAGGCACGACCGCTCAGTAAACAGGCATCGGCGGCCATATTTTGCTGGTTCAAGCGAACCCCCTCATCCTTGACAGCGAGCGCGAAAATGCGAAAAATTATTGTATCTGCCGTTTTGCCAGAAATAGCGACGAGTGACGCCTGCTACTTCCGTCAACTACTCCCCCATAATCGTGATCTTCGCGAGGAAATGATTGTTGCTAGCCACAGAACACTACCGCGCACAAAGGGAATGCTTGGATATGTTTTTATTCTAGATATAAGCCAGGGATATATATATATAAGCGAAAGAGATGGAGATAGAGGGTGAGAGAGAGGAGCATATAGTGCCGTAGGAAAATTAAGTAAACAAAGTTCCCAGTGGCCGAAGGCTGCAGTATCTTTTCTCGGATCACTAGTTCGTAATATGATAGCTCTTTGTACACAGTAGTTTCTCCTCAATTTTAGTGTGTGAACGATTTTTATAGTTCAATGGAGTCATCTGAATAAAAGTATGTAAAAGGTGTGTGTTAGGTTCTTGAAACTGGAACTCAGACCCACTTCTTGTATAGGGCACTGCTAAGTGTAGGCTTTGCAAAGGGACCCTACTTTGGGGAGGTGTCTCTTTTTTCTTAATAAAATAATGCAACATGTTTTTAATAGAAATGAATACCGAAAGAGAGTATAACAGCGTATCCAAATTTATGTAAAAAAATCGAAGGTGGTGTTTTTTCTTATTCGCATCGGAGTGTTTCGTTGTTTGATGTTTTTTCTATGTTTGCTTAAATATATTCTGACTATTGTATCACTGAAATGCCTTAATTATTTTTTATATAATAGCCATATATAATTAGAATACTATCTGCAAATTATATATTAATTATTAAATTATTTCATGAGATACAGGCCTCCAAATCTTGCCGTTTGTCGTTCGAGCCGGCATGTTTGGCAATTTTTGGAAAAATAAAGAAAATTTAAATAAATATTATTACTTTATATTACAAGCCAGCTGCACCCATTGTTTGTTTCTAAAAGTTATTAGAATTCTCCTATTGTTATCGTTTTAGTTATTCGCTCTCAAAGGCGCCCCCTCCATCAGTGCGCGTTAATTCAACTGTCCACCTCTTCATGCCTTACGATTTTTCCTGTCCTCAAATATCGTCTTCTGGTCAAAATTAAGATCGAATTCGTTTATACCAGACACTAGACAATAGCATATAAAAACATCGGTTAATTTAACAATCTCGACCAGCCACCCTTTTGTCGAGTTTATCTCAAATCACCCTGTATATGTTTTATTTATGTTTGGTGTGTACAAAGAAAAAACGTAAAACTGGATCCCGACATTACAACTCGCTTGCTGACGTGCCATAGTCCGGCTAAAATAACAGGACCGGAAGGCGATAGCAGAAACGTACAGCAGTACCATAACTACGGATGTCGCGAACTTGTTTTGGTCCTCAGGTTTGACGGGTTAGACGAACCTCCGACCTTTTGGCAGTGTTGGAGGAAGTTCGACTCCCTGAAAAGTGTTGCCCGTCTTCAACGTAACAAGTTGAAATTTTCGGTAAAATATCTTGAACTGTAGCTGGTTGCAAATCTTAGGAAATAAAAACCAATGTTCGTACCATATAAAAGCAAACGATAGTTGAGTTCGGGTCGTACTTTTTGTCGAATATTGCGTTTAAAGTTTGATAAAGCCAAACCTGGTCGACCTTGATCCTCGGCAGTCTCAATGCAATCCCAATCGTTGTTGTGCGGCACATTTCGCCAGCATGACCCTTGCTCCAGTGGAGAGCAGAGCGCTTAGCACATCGCCTTCTTGCAGCGCCCTTCTTCGTATCTTGTTTT